TCGACCATCCCTGACTAGGTTTGGGCAACTTGGCGTCAACTCAGCCATCTTGCGTGCTTCGGATGGCACGTCAGCTAGGCACCGAAAGGGTGCTACAGATTAACAACTTACCTGTATACACAAATTTACAGTATGTCGTAGATGTTACCCTACCTATGCTAGGGAAAACGTTGAACGACCCAACCAAACGGCTTGGTGAATAACGAGGCACCAGGCTAATACCTAGACCAGGGAGTATCTGGACTTTGAACAGCACCAAGAGCTTATTACCCCTTGTGACAATCGCATTTCAGTAGGTCTCGAATCCGCAAAAATCAATCTGAATGCAACTTGTTGATACCAGGGATTTCCGTTGTGATGGACAGGCGAGCAGCCATTGAGGACCATCCATCCAGAAGAGACCACAGTGACCGCATTTCAAGGCCCATCCGGATTAGATAAAATGTGTGTTTGTCTAGTGAGATCACAACTGCTCCTAAGTCAGGCTTATTCATACTGTTGACCGTGAACACCCAGTCGACTAAGCTAAGTAATCGGGTTAGTTGAACAGTGGGCTAAGTGATAGCCTGAACCGTACTGTCCTCATTAGATGGGAAGGATGTTTCACAAAGAAAGGCTTTAGCACAGATAATTCAAAGGAACATCATGGGTGAAAAGCCAGCGACGTTACGCATATAGAACCGATGCACTGCATGCTGAGCTAACAAGGCAGTTCTACTCATGACTTTCCACGTGACGTTGCTGTTGGCCCAAGACAGTGAACCCGCTGTGTGACCGACACGTACGTGAACGTCGTGATTTCGTTCGTTAGATCGTTCAGGTGTGACTCTCTCTATGTGTGCTGTTACGCTACGTTTCGGGAGCATGGGGGCTGGCATGCTGACCAACCACACATTTTCGGATAGCAGCGGGGGTGGACCCTCCGGTCAGGAGATTACATCTCAACTCCGAATTCCCCAGAACTCGTCAGTGAAATATTTCTGTGGATGACTGAATTACTGATGATATAGTTTAGAATGGCTTCATGCCGCACAGCTAGAACAAGACACGCAGCGGTGGCGCTACAACAAGTTCAATGTACAATGAACTACTTTCGCTGCAAAGGAAGCGTTCCCCTGTCTCCTTGACGAGATCGTCCCTTCATGATGTCTAAAACAAAAACTTTCCCAATGCAAGCAACAGTTTTGGTTCGATTGCAGTGAATGTACTAAGACATAGATCAGCGCATCAACCGAATGAGCTCGTTGACATATTGGTTGGTTGATTGAAATAATTATCGGGAACTCATTAAACATCGAGTTGCTATGCCTTGCTTTTTATACTTTTGCATTGTATTGTATCGTATTGCATTATGCGTTGTTTTAGGCTAGCACTCCAAACGACATATCCATCAAGATTAGATCAGGTTCAGGAGAATGAAGGGGCCTCGTCGGTTTCTTGAGCGTGATTGTCGACAAGGCTAATGACGTAGAATACTGCTATTAGAAAAAAATTCATTCAGCTGTAACACTATTTCGGTGCCTAGCTGCCATGCCACTCGAAGGAAGCACGAGGGCTGGGATATTGCCAGATTTCCCAAGCCTAGACAGGAGAAGTTGAGAGGTAGAGGTCGGGTTCGAACGAGGGACTTTCCGGTCAGTAAATATGCGCTCTAACGACTGAGTCATCTCAGCCTAATTAGTGATAATAGTCGTTGTTCGGGTCCACCACCATTTCGGGGTATAGCTACAATTCTACCTGAAGGAAGCAACAAAACTGAGATACTGCCAAGTTGCCCAAGCTAAGAGGATAACAGCCGAGATGTTAGGGTTGGGTTGGGTTCAGACTAAAGACTTTCCGGTCGGTAATTTCACACCTGAACTATTTCGAGTTTCTGACGAATGTTTAATCTCAGTTTATTCAGGAGATCAAAGGACAGTCAGACGTTTCAACCGCTGTTAACTTGACACAGTTCAAAGTTTAGCAAACCCTGAATTCACACTGGGGACGCTGAAGCCGACCGTTCTGCCGAGGCGATTGCCAACAGACTCTTACGCCGTCAATCCACACCCCAAGGCACCACCCAACACGATCGTCAATTCGTTGCAATGAGTATTCAACTTCCCCACTCCGCCCCCTTCCCCTAAATATTCCGACAGTTTAGCCTGTCAAGCCCTTACTACTGCGATGTCGACCTTAGTATTTCGTTGACTGTTTTGTGCCAGTTCGTTAGTCGATTTTATCTTCAGATACGACTTGTCCCCCGAAGGCCGTTCTGTTGACAATTCAAAGGATTATGAATAACTTACAAGATGCCAACCTGAACGATTCCGCGATAACTGAGCGAGTCCAAGGTTCCGCGTCCACACAGATAGGAGCGTGTATTATACTCGAATAATTTAAGCGAGAAACCATTCACGAAACATCATCCGAGGCGCTCAAAACGAGTGACCTCATATCCTACGACGCATTATCGAACCAAGTGTTGGGCGGATTAAAAAGGAAGCCAACAGCTGAAGTGACTACAGAATAATATTGTGCCTTGTACGGACTGGTAGTTGACCTCATATTCTCACATATCTCCGTTTCGCCTGCAGCTGGCGAACTGCGACTTCGCAGGCCCGAATCCCTCAATCGAAGGGGACTAGCTTTTCACTTTGTCTTATCTGAGGAATATTTTTTTAAAAACTCTAATTCTAAGAAAATCTCATTTCGTAAAAACTGTTGGACTTTGTCCAGAAATTCCAGTTAAGTTCCAAACTGTTTAAACCGACCAGTAGTTTTGTTGAAACAGGGAGACGGCTCACCATCCGTACCGAGAAAGCAAGGGTAGGTCATGGTTGTCGTAGGCACGCGAAGACAGCTGAAGCCCTTCTTCATTCAACCCAATATATCTCAAAAACCACGCGTGGAAGACTGCCAGAAAAAGAGAACTCGAGCACGAGATACAAAGACAAACAGTCGTTCTTTGGATGAGTATCCAGCATGGCACACACGAGCATCAAGCTGTAAGCGACGGCACACACAATCAGTCAAGACGAAGACCAACAAACGACGCCAACTAGTGCACATGCGGCGGTCTGTATGTTCACGCGCGATGTGGGGGTAGGCTGTGACCAACGCGTCGAGTAGTCAAAGCGAATCAGCCAGTGAGCTATTTTGCAGGCCAAAGTGAAGCCCGACCGACTCGGTGACCTCACCAGAAGTGACAACAACGGCACGGATACGGAATGACTAATGTGGGACACACGAAGATCGTTTGTTGACTCATCTGCGCATGTGCGACAATGACGAGCACCAATGTCGATGGCACGCGGGTGCTAGTTACCATGGCTCACGATGGTAACCCAAACTGAGACACAGGTGAGCTGAAATGCACTTGGCAAGCACAAACATGCAACCCTAACACCATACTGATCGACTATGCCGTGAGAAAGTAAGTGTGTGTGTGGGGGGGGCAGTTGTGGGAGGTGTAAAAGTAGGACGGTAGAATCGGCGCTTACACGAGGCAGATTCGCCAAGAAGCAAGCACCACCTTTGAACTGTATCAGGACAGGGAGCAGGCAAACTTGGAACCACTCTCCAGACCAACCAATGATACCTATCGACTGAGATCTGAGACAATTTGACGTCAAAACGGCTGTGGAGTGTGATCATCTTTGCCGGCAAGGCTTTTGCAATAGAGGAAAAGGGTTTTAATCACACGTCAAAACACCCCTTTAAATACACGCAAGCAACCTGTAACAGATACAAACGGACACCAACCACGGACGCCCACAGGTCCCGTAACAGACAGGTAGAGGTACGGTTTCTAAGGTGTGCAAAATAACTACGCAGCCACTCGTTTTTTCGCTGTGCCCGTCAGAACACTGAAGGAACGGGGACAATCGAGTCCTTTTAAAGGACAGTATACACAAGATGGCGATCGCCAGGGAAATTCCGTCGTGGATTCGCTGGGTGAAACCGTGTTTCAATCTGCCTGCACCAGCCTTACTTCCTCACTATGCCGGAGGGGACAGAAACATGTGCAAGGTCGAATTGCACCGATCAGTCCCGGTATCGTTTATTTTTCACATCCATACATATTGGCAACAATTGTTCCGTCTTCGAACTCCGGTGGCGACGTTCCTTTTAACCACGGCTTCATGTGGTGCTGTGATCAGATACAAACACAAGAGATGGAAAACCATCTACAGACCGAACCTCCCTCAGTCCAGTGGGACAGAGTGAAAGGTGGGTTAACACGTTAACCCCAATATGGGCACTAGTCTACACAGTGACTGAGGGGGTCACGTAACCCCGTCAAGGTTGTGTTGAAAATGTTGATTCTTTGTGACCGTATGCTCACAGTGCAATCCCCATACAAGTCACCTCAGTACGGTGATTAACTTTGGTCGGTTAAGTCAGAATCCTGTCTAAGTTGTACTACCCCGAAGACACTGCCCTGCAAATAGACCGCATTTGATTAGCTTCTTGAAGCCCATTCCATTGCTCCTAGAAGGCACCGCTAGAACAGGTTGCTTGAGGTAGTCTCTCCAGAAGGGGGTTATTGGGGTGAATTCAGGTAGCAACAATTAGCATTTATACCACATTCACCAATTATCTTGTTTTTTTTTCACTGAAAGTAAGGAATGAATGTTGGTGGTTAACCAAGATGCCTTTGATTTACGGATGCGCGTCGGGTCACAATACCCTCTGCAGTGCTCATCGATCAATGCGGGCGGGGACTTTTCTAAGATCACTTTGTCTTCATATATCTTGTGTAGGAAAAAAGTAAGGAAACTGTGATCGGTTGTTCACAGCCCTTTATTTACTTTCCAGAAATGATCGATGTACACATTTACCTACGGACGACTGCTACATCTAAAGAGCGTCTAGAATTTCGATGAGGAGACCTACAAAACAGCTTTGGTGTAACAGTGTAACAGTTGAAGTGATGTCGCATGGTGAAAAGTAGGGGAATAGATTAAAAAAAAATCGGATTGTGAAGTAGCGAAATTCGAGGAGCATAGCAGACGTACCGACCACGTAAGCAACCAAATTGCTTGGAAGTCGAGCGCGCTGCGAACCACCTCGACCAAGGACCGTTGAGTTTGCCATTTGATCCCGAGTGAAGAGGCATGCCATCAGAGCGCAGGTAGCCCTGGTCCATTCATTAGTTTCTGTGTAGTACTTCCACTGTCGACTGGCCATCACATCTGGGTTATTGGCTAACTGGAAGTAGGAGGGGGTAGGAAACGAGAGAACGATTGGTGACCGAGAAATGAAACACATCATTAAACTAGCAACACAAGTCTGGATTTATGTTTTAGCAACATGTAAACTGATAGCTCTTATTGCACACGGAAGCCAACCATCTTACATGGGCTCATGAGTAGTCAGTGATGACCACCGTTTGGTGCTCAGGCTTGAACAAACCGCTTACTATTGGCCGGAATTGAGTTTAGTCACAGTGAAATTTGGATTCCGACCAGCATAGCCACTTTGGTACGATAGATTCAGCCTCTGAATGAGCTCTTTGATGACGATATGGTAACAAAAAACTTTCATCAAAGCGGATTCCAAGGACCCGCATGTCACGGAGCACAACCCGCATGGTTTACGAATGGCTCTGTGATTGAATACATAAAATGAAATTCCTCAGCGGCGTCACTTGGCACATTGCACAAGCAAACAACTGCACATAGGTAGCATTCAAATGACGGGGCAATTGTCGATAAACCGATCTGTTGAAAGCAGATGGTAGGAAGATCGGATCTAAGTGCCACGATCAGAAAGAACAGCTTCATTGGTGAAATGTGTTGAAATAGGTATGCGACTGTATCAACTGCAAGGCAGACAGCGCTGAGGTTAATGAGGACGTTCCGGTTTGAGGGAACATGAAGTTGGACACCCACAGTCTCTATGATCCTGTCAGAAGGTGAGTTCGTGGAGAATATTCAGAACTCATGTCCCTGCAGAGGGTGCCGAGGAAAATGTGCTTCAATACCGCTAAATCATACGTAGAAAAACCTGAACTTCCAGTCTGCCTAACGTGACCACCATTGGAAACAAGAACGGACTGGAACAGGTGCGGACCTCGCCACTGTCAAGTACGGACGGCTAAAATCCGAAGCGTTCGTGGAGCCGAATCGTCCCTCAACGTGAGTAGCACTCACTATGGACTGCACGAAAGCTATGAGCCACACCACAGATGCGCAGATTTTCGAAGGTGCAAACTCAGGTCACTAATGGGCAGTGGATAACAGACAACAAAAATTCGAGGAACCAGCTAAAAAACGGTTGGAAGTACCTCTAGCTCTTAGGAACGTTTGCGAATAAAGTTATATTATAGATCTATTAATGCAACAGGGAGGGGTCGCCATAAACTAAAATAGTCAAATGACGGGTCATTCCATGACATGACCGATACGTCCTACACTGATATTGTCACCCCCCGGAGTTGTGTCCGTTTTCAGTCGAAACGACACTGACTTGTCCGTATTATACACACAGACCTCACGATCTGCCGCGATACAGACCTAAGAACGGTAGCCTGTCGTTGTTCACTCGCGCTGCGAAAGACCCTGTCCGAGGCATTTTTAAGTGAATACTCGACGTACGATATTCAAATTCGGGTTGAAGTTATTGCTCACTGCATCAACATCATGTGAGGCTCTTGGCTCCAATTGGCGAAACCCCAACTTGCTCATAGAGGGGAGAAGTCGACAAGGACGTTCCCTTATGCAATGAAGCAGAAAAGTGGAAAAGCGCTAGCCTATTTTCTTTTCAAACGTAACATTATGAACACTAGTACACCTACACGAGAGAGCTCCGAGATGGGTGTGATAGACAGGAGTTGGTCGCACATCAATTGCCACGTCGGATCAGTGTTTCTGGCTACGTAGTAGGATTTGAAGGAAGGGGGTAGGCGACGTTTGCGTCGATCAAGCGGGATGCAATAGGCTGGACAAGGCACAGCAACCGACCGACCGTGGAAAGCGAGCAGCACCAGCATCGCAAGCGCGTGTGCGCTGTCGCCTCTACTAAAGTTTCATGAGTGGGTTGAAGGGCGTAAGCCTACGCGCATCGTGTGAGTGTGCCTGTGCTTGTGTGCGCGCGCGCTCATTTCTACGTCGAGTGTGCGCCAGATGCGTTCGGCACGCGTCGATCGATCATACGTAGGCAAGCTGCAGAATACAGGCGCACCTTGCACACGCACACATGTATACACTCAGCGCACTCAATAGACCTGGGCCAGCCAACGTACATACGCATCAACACGCAGACAAATTTGCACACAAAACACGAAAGACGGTCTGCGAGGTAGATAGAGGGCAACCGCGTGTGTGTTCAGAATGAGAGAAACGAGGCCAGCGCATAGCTGGCTCACTTCCGGTTTATCGATCAGAGCCCGAAAGATCATTACCCAGAGCTGTCTGTCGTTGCCGCGCTGTCTAAACCTTTGCTGCGACGTAGAAGTTGTGATTTGGGCTCGAGGGTTGTGTCAGGTCTCAATTTTTGGCAATCTGACGGAACCAGCGAGTAAGCCTTTTATTACTGCATTACACGTTCCACATATGTGGTTCAGAGCCTTCGAAAGTGCAGGTAAAGAAAACCAGGAGCTTGTTCAAAGGTGATCCAATCTCGGGATAAGAGTTCACGAAATGAAATCCTTCTCCAGCAAACGGTTTTCGTGATGTCTCTCCAAACAGGGCTGAAACCCTCTGAATGGATATTTCATAAACGAATGTACGGTGCTTGTGCACCATGAAAAGGAATAAAGCTTCCGAAAGCTGGATAGTGTCCTGAGGTATATTCACGTGCTAATAGCCGAACGCAATGGTAAATTAGTCAGCTGCACAACCGACCTGAGGGCCTTAACACCAGAAAAGCCAAGCCTCGAAAGCTGAATTCAATCGTTCAGTGTATTTTCCACATATTCCGACTGCAATTACCTGTCACACCACCGAGGAGTGTTATGTAGTCATCGAAATGTGTTTTGTTCAATTTCTAACCTGAATTACGAAAAATTCGTCAGTGAAGTTGATAGAGTCAGCGTTTTCAAAACAGAGTAGGAAACAAGGCCCAAGGGATTTGAATGCCCATGTGGTACAACAACAAGAATACATAAAATTAGCTCAAATATATTAGCTTTCCAAAGGAGAGTGGATTCAATCCACTAATTCGCGCACACATGAGAATGCTACTGCTTTTATGCACATTATGGATGTAGGCTGATCGTCAGAGGAAAGCACCATCGACAACAATACACCAGTAGTAGATACCGACGCACAAATGTGGTGCAACCATAAAGGGTAATGTCCCAGTGATCAGGGGAAGGATGGGGATTTGGAAAACGACCTAGAACAAGATATCTAAAAATTGGAACAGTAACGAGATAAACGCATTGGAGAGGTATATCGACATCAGCAATCGGATTGACCCAACGTCTTTTGTAAATCCAGTCCAGACTAAATTCATCTGGACAGTACGACTAGAAATGAGACCGGCTGCTTTCATGTAGTGAGAGTCAAGTGGACCCAAATCAGGAAAGCACAAAGATCCCAGAGCCCTCGGTCTGAGAGAGTCCGCTTTCAATTTGCATTTGCCTTTCGCCAACAACAGCTCGAGATGTTTTGTCTGTAGCTAGAGGTTGGGCATGTGTAGAACGTACCACCACCGTAACTTGATAGGCTTCACTTGCTGCTCTGTTTCACCACTTCATTGCGAAGACGCTGCAATTGCTAACGCCTACTATGCTGCCAACCATCGATGACCAAACGCTCGGATCCGTTCAAGGTCCTCTCTGATGAGAGGGACGAAGTTTCACAACCACACAGTAGGATTAACCTTACAATTGCTCTGTGTACAGTTACAGTGAAATTCGATTCGATGCAAGTTCTTCCATGCTGCTCACTTTTTAATGATACGTGCATTAACTGCTGGGACGAACGGTCACAGCTTAAGCAGTTGGCAATATAAGCAAACAAGCCAACACACTATCTTCGTCAAATTTGAGAGGGACAGGTGGCCTAAAAAAACATGGCGTTGCAAAACGCATATCACGGCAAAGGAGCATTTCCAAAATTCCATTTGGAACACATCGTGCGGGCTGATGGTCTTCGAAACGACATCGCCCGCGTAGTCCAGGGTTCTTAGTATTTCCCTAGATGTAATTTAGACAGCAAGATAGTCGATCCCTTGGAAAACGGAGGTACCGGGCACCTGCTATTCCAGAAAACACGCAGACAGACACTTACCTTTCGGTCAGCAGAAGCACATAAGTTGGTTTGTGGTTGCTTGAATCAAATTATCTGAACTATATGTGTTCTTGAACATTTCGGCTGGTCCTCAATACGGACAATATAAATGAGAACAATTCCACATTAGTGAAAATCTATTTATTACTCACGGAAGGATCAAGGTCTCCAGTTATGGTGCATAAAATGCTACGCATGTTAACCGTCGGGGGGAGATGGCCCAAGTAGTTAGGGCGCGGATTTACTGACCGGAAGGATCGTGGTTCGAACCCGACCTCTGCCTCTCGACTTCCCCTGTCTAGGCTGGAGCAACCTGGCAGTATCCCAGCCCTCGTACAACCTTCGGGTGGCATGGCAGTTAGGCACCGGAAGGGTACTACAGCTGATTGATGTTAATCCTCAAGAGCGGAAATGGTTCAGTTAAGAAGTAATCTATATCATGGGCATCACAACATTAATGTTCAGTGGTAATGGTTCACTGCCAAACCTTCGGGGGCATGGCAGTTAGGCACCGGAAGGGTACTACAGCTGATTGATGTTAATCCTCAAGAGCGGAAATGGTTCAGTTAAGAAGTAATCTATATCATGGGCATCACAACATTAATGTTCAGTGGTAATGGTTCACTGCCATATGACTATAATCTTTGAAAGTCATATTATGAGAACGGACTTGGTGCTAGCTTACTATAGTCATTGCCGGGTACCCGTACTTCAAGACTTGGGGAGAAGCTTACAACAGGAAAACCAATAGCAGCCGTATCATACGGCGTCTCCAGCCATGCGCATGGAGGAGTAGCACGACCCCAACCTGAAGGGAGAGTCACACGGAGATTAGTCTGACTTCTTGTCATCGTCTTCGTACCCTCTATCAGGGTTGACTACCTCTCTACTTGCGCCACTTTGGACTTGAACACGGAAAACAGCACTCCCTTCAGTAGACAGTGATTTGACGTGCGCAGTTAATGACCTAACCACCACCACGATTACAGCTATGATGCTGAACCCATTCTTCGACTGAATTCACTGTTGAACAACCGAACACTCGTCTTCAAAGTGTCTCGTTGGGGACGAGACGATGGTTGTCGAACATCTGAATAGGTCCCAGTTCCGCTGATTCCAGAGACCATGACTTACCACTACACAAAACACCCCGTATTGCGGTCCGATATACAAGCCCTTTGTAATTCAGAGATATGCTGATCTGCTACGACAGGCATCCCAAATTAGCAGACGCGATCTGATGAGCATTAGAGACTTGTTCATTGGCTTCGCCTGTCACATTATCGTAGGAGCCTGCTCAGCTTCCAAGATACGTCTAGCGACATGTCTAACGATTTTTGTTGGTATGAAAGGCTTGGATCAAAATAAACGGACTAGCTTCTCGCCGGTGTAGTAGTTCCTGGCATGCGTCCTGAGAATATGCAGGCAGTGTATGCACGAATTACGCTTACACAATCAGTTTCGCAAAAAAATGAACCAAGGTGAGTGCGTGACAAAATTAGAAAATGCGCACTAGCGGACTTCAAATGGCTCCGAAAGTTTGTCACTCCCACACACTTGATCTTTGTTTCACCCTGCGACCGTTTACTTCGTATGAGCATGTAGCGTCTCGTGGACATGCTGCTTGGTAGATAGTCACTTGGTTGTCCAAACCGTGTGCATTCGGGGATTGGGGGCATAGAAACCCGAATGGCTTACACTGCATATGAGTACTATGGGATCGGTAGTTGACGTGCAAACTCACGCTTGACCAAAATAGTGGATTAGGACTTTTAGCCTGCTGACTTGGACTGTTCACAACGCAGCACAGTCTAGTCGCATTATGTCAATGTGGAATACGCACTCACTGATGGCCACTGATGCTGACCGAGCCTTAGTTGGACAACGGTCTCAGGGCATAGTGGAACTGCTCAAAACACAGAACTGCATCAAAAGTGCAGAGTCAGCATTGTTGACATCCTTTGAGCGAATTATCTGAACCATTTTATAACACAAAGGAGACGGCTAGTTTCGGCGTCGGATTGGATGCATCATCTATACCCAAAGTGAAATAACAGTGCCTTCGAAAATAGACAGATAGATAGCTATGTCCGATAAGAAAGGAAGTACTGGGGTGGTTAACAGCAGTCCCCATTTATCATGCGTGATCTAGGGACAAAGTGAATACATGCCGTTTTAGCCTGTCAACACATCCATACCCTTTATGCATCTGAACAAATGGAACGTGGTCTGTAAGATTACGAAAAATTCCGGTGCCTTCGGTGTTGTTCACCTTCTGCGCCGGAGTTCACGTGATTCTCTGCTTGGCCGGAGACGTTGCAAGATATGGCCACCAACTCCTGTTATTTGAGCTCATACTTCTGTTCATATTGTCGGAGTGAATGGTTGGGAACATCCTGTGCTTTTAAATGGCTAGCTATACGACCCTTTTGCACTGTGTCCTTCTTATCATTATAGGTCGTCATCTGAACAAATCAACATGGTTTCACAGCTGTCAAACAATTAAAGCCTAGGGTCGGTAATTCGGGTGCAGATGTTGGCTCGTGAGAAGACGGTGGTAATAGCAGTAGGTGCATTGGGAATTTTGTGTAAAAGTTCGCACGTGGCTAGCAGCTATAGGTACTGTTCCGATATACTTGATGTACCTTTGTTGGAGCATCGCACTGCAGCTGGATTGACGCAACACTGCGTTCCAATGAAAAGAGAATGGATCGAGGTCAGCTGATATGACGGTAATCCTTAAGACACACATGTTTCCCCATGCTAGCTTTCACTGACCCCACCACACAGTGTACGGAGGAGGTACACTACGATCCAGGTCCACAAGATTGACAGAACACATGAACCGATGAGCACGACGCTGCATTTCGGAGACTTCGTACGCACGTGACGTCTACTTTTCGGAAACCGGTTCATTCTTTCAAGTTTTCATTTTGTGACAGCGAACCGTTGACATAATTGACAGCTTAGCGGTCTAACAGCTCTGGCGCGAATGAAGGACGACAAGTAGTCGTGTTTCTTGTACCTTTTACCTCGAAGACACTGCAAAGCTGTTGATAGCATGGGGTGCTCCAAGAGATCGTAGTTACAACATGAGCTTCTTTCGACGAAGGTTTTATTCCACAACTGTCCTACAATGTAGGATGGGAGCTTATTGAGAAGTGTTCGGCGTATTGGGTGCTACTTAAAGTAGACCTGTAGAAAAATCGTTCAGCTGTAGCACTCTTCTGGTGCCTAGCTACCATACCACCCGAAGGAAGCACGAGGGCTGGGATACTGCAAGGTTGCTCAAGCCTAGACAGGGGAAGTCGAAAGGCAGAGGTAGGGTAGGTCGCACCGATAGGCTGCTGCGGTTAACCAGTTTTGCCAATTGACACGTGACGTCGAAAATTTCTGAACAACAGTTGACTTTTTTGGAGGATATGGAAATTACGCTGATTCATCCGATCTTCTTGTTGCCTCGTCGCCCGCGGCATTTAGTGCATTTGGCGAAAAAAGTGGATCTGACAATTTTTCGTTGATTCTTCTTCTCTGGGCTTCACTCGGTTTTTTTTCTCTGTTGCTTGGAGTCCTAGGTATCTGAAGACGTTTTTCCTGTCTAGTATTAGTATGAGAAGGCTTTTCATACAAATTCTGGTCTGAAAGATAGTGAAAAATTAGTGCCCAATGTGGCTGTCGGCGATCCTGCTGTTGGTTGGTTTCCAGCTGTTCAGCTCACCCTATATCGATTGAATGAGCCACACCCACCGTAATTGGACTATCTGGTTTAGTTCTCATCACTGACTGTCAGTTGAGTGGCGCCGATCATAGATCCGAGTAAATGGATCATTTTATAACCTGTTTTGAGAGGCCGTATGCATTTCACGGAGCCTTATACACATGTCTACACTACGCTGTTGTGGAACCTTCATCTACAGAAAGTCGGCCCGAAAATCTGCGCACTCTTGCCACCCAACAGTTGACCATGGCCGCCGGCGAAGTATCCAACACGGTCAAAATGCAACCAAGACTTTCCAATGAGATGTAATGACAGACCGGAATGACCTTCGTTGAGAGTTCGCTTCATCGGTTTCTGATGAACGGATTCATAATTATCTACGAGGGGCGTCAAAACCTTCCGGCTCTGAATGGGAGGAGATGCGTATGGTCAAGACACCATAGCATGCTGCACAACCTAGAACCCGTTTCCTAATCACCTCACCGTAAAGTTCTGTTTTCCCTTCTACCCTACTTCTTTTACATAATGAAAATTTTTCTCCAACGTTTACGCACTTATTGATGATCACACTGTGCCCTATCCTTTCCAGTTCCCTGTTTCTCTTAGGACTTTAAATGACCAAAAAGGGCGATCTCATTGTGAATTCTGATTCCAGCACAATTGGTGATTGAGGTGATGCAACCAATCCTGTCAAATGCTTTCATATTTTCCTCAAACTGGACTAATCTTCCGCGGACGTCCCATTATTCCTTCTACCTCACCTTCGTAGGCTTAAGTTATTCTGACAACCTCGTTCAGTCTACTCACACCAAACTGACCATCAGGGGGGTACTTACGGGGAAGCGGTTCTTATCCTTGTCCTGTTGTCAGATGGACCGTTCCTCCGAACGAGTACACTCAGAGATAACCTGCCGGCTACTGTATTTCTGCTCCCTTCTAAGTTCCAACACGAAGGTTCGAATTAGCAGGTTTCTGTAAACTGTTCACCTTATAACGTGAACATTCGAAGAAGCTATTATACACCAGCTGAAATCGTCTGTCGCTAGAATTAATAAAAAGTCTCCGTCCGGGCAACACATGAGAGAAACTAGTTGATCAGTCCCAAATTTTCTACACTGTGAAAACAGCACTTTGTTTCTAGAGAATAAAACCTCCAAAAATCCAGTGAAAAAAGAAACAACAGCAGTATGACTGGACAGTTTCAACTGGAAACCTCCAAGAATCGAGTGAAAAAAGAAACAGCAGTATGACTGGACAGTTTCAACTGCAACCCTGACCTTATTTCGGTCAGCATGAGATCGGCCGGATTCTAGCCATTGGAAACAAGTTTGCTATCAGTCTGCATTTAAAGGCAGAGTACATCGCTTGAACATCTCGCGCTATGGGAGTGTGTCGAAAGTTCATGGTGTTGTGGAAACTACAGAAGGTTTTGGAAATGAACAAGTTGAGGCTAAACCCACAACAATCATCAAAGATGCTAGAAACTAGGTGAGGGACATATGATACTTTGGAATACAGGGTATACAACTGGATGCAAAGGAGCCCCCAGGGTACCCTTAAGGGACTGTAACTTGGAGAAAACAGTGGAAAAAACTTGTACGACCGAATGTTTGGAACCATTCCAAAAGTAAAATGGTTGACCAGCAACATTTTGTCAGAATTAGTTAGATTCCCTAACCAGAACCCCGAAGTAAGGAACATGTCAAATGCTCTCGAATGACACTTTTCATAAAAAACTACTCCATAGTTTCCTCTATAAATGAAGCGCTTTACATTGTATGGTGTTTGTCCTTCACTTGCAAGGACAGCCCGCTCTACATTTGACTGTTATCGGGAACGACTGATGACCAGTTAATTACTCGGAGAATAAAAAGCAAAAACTCACAGAGGCATCAATCTCACGCATTTCTTCTTCACTGATCTCGTATAGACTGTCGTCTGCAGAAATGGAATTCGATTCCCCGCCGGACTTGGTAGGTGCTGCGACCTGTTCCACGGAATTGGTCGCTATCGCTGTGTTATTGGAAGGATGATGATATTGCGAGGTAAATCCATCCTGATGGTTTGGCACTGAAACCATGCACGGAAATGCTGAACACGTGGAAGGTGTGGGAACAGTAGGCACATGGGTGGATGTGGAGGAGGCAACTTGGGTAGGATCAAATGGTAGGGTGGCGGATGACGTGGTAATGGCACCACCGTCCACGACAATGGAAGCGGTTGAGACGGAAGAGGGTGCATTGGAGTCTACATATACTATGTTTGAACCATCTGGTTGTTTGTGTAAGGGAGTGGCAGTGAGCCGAAACTTGCCATTGTCACTAACCACTGCAAACGGTCTGGTGGGACAGCTGGGGGTAGAGGCAGTTGTCGAAGAGGATACTACAATGGGAGTAAGATAGCTATCTGCTTGATGTGCTGCCCATAACGTATTCGGAGGATAAGACGAATGGTAGTTATTTTGTGTGGGATACATAGCGTATTGTGGCTCAGCACTACCAGTTGCAGTGCGCACGTAGGATGCTAGGTGCTGAGGGACTTGGGCGCCCGAGGATTTCACAGCTGAGAGTGAGATGAATCCACCGAGTTGGGGAGAGTAGATGTGATGAGAAGCCATTTGATTGGAATCACTGTATAGATCATAAGCTACGGCAAGGGCTGTACCGAGCCCTAAACTTCCAACATGCACTTCTTTTCGTTCGTCCAGTTTGACTGGTTCCAAAGGCGAGACGGTATCGGTGGGCTAAAGGGCAATCAAACAAATATTGAACGGATAGAAAACAGCTGTATATGCGTTGTAATTAAAAATACCCCATACACCTCTATCTAGTCTAGCTTATGCAACAATCGGACCACGGTTAAGAGCCTGTGCAAACTGACAAAAGCCGGCTGAACTTCGAACGGAACGATACAGGACTACTAGAGAGCACCAAATCCAAACATCTACGTCATTAGAAACACGCCTGTATGCCGTTTATGGAACCAACTTTCCTCAATCAGCTGGCGATTCAGTCGCTAGCGGTTGTTGATTATGTTTTCGTCAACGTCCATCCAGATTGTCTAGTTTTGTTTGCAGGCGACAGCACCCGGATTTTGGCTGTAAGCTAGTGCCAGGTATCTTACTTTGCCCAACCTTGTTCTTCTTATTGGAGCGCTGTAGGCGAATAAGGATGCACGTATGACAGTTGAAAACCAGCGTTTCCACACCAAAGTTTTTGCCAGTACTAGTGAGGGTCTGTAATTCTATCCATCATTAATGTGAGGTAGTTGGCACTCACCATCTTGAAAACCGATCACTGGAATACTTGAAACCACAGTATATCTCATTGATATAGATATTCAATAGGCCGAACCACAGTAAAAACCACAGGTTATGTTGAACTTGAGTTATGTTACTGTTTTTCCCAAACAGCACATTAGTTATACTGAATTACATATGGGAGTGTCTACGGATCCTAGAAGCTGTTGTTGATCGGTGAGGAAGTGTCGAGTGACTAGCAGAAAAAGAAATTACTTTCCGATTTGGAAGGCCGCTGCACCGAACTCCAACATTTGCGACATCAATGTGAAATCAGTTTGACCGCCAAGATTATGGTTCACAATGTTCCGATCTGATGTGGCCCACCTTGTGGATAAGAGACGTGGCCGATGTGTGTCAAAGACCTTTAAAAGCTCTCCGTGTCTGACCGTCATGACTTCCGAAGTGTTGCGCGGGTCAGGTGGGAACATGAGACCAAATGCTAAAGTACGCCGGACGGTTTAAGGGGAAAGTAGCTCTCCCTCGGTAGATCACACTCTACAGGTTACGCTGATTAGGTCACGTACTTCGTACGTCAGAGGGCCGTTTTCCTCGTTTAGCTCACTTCGCCCAACTATATATCGGATGGGACTGACCTAGGGACGGTCACTCCATTACTTAGTAACGAAGCGTGGAATCCGTTACTAGCCAGTTCAGTCGTGTTCCTCCGCGGAGAACCAATAATTAATGACCCTGATAAATATGGCTTATCATTATCATCATCTTCAGCATGACATCAGTGTTCAACATCGATGCTTCGCTACCGCACAGCCATGATTTAATTGAAAGCCCCATTGTGAAGAAAAAATAAAGGTGGACGGGGAAGGGACTTATGGCTGGCTTACTACAATCATTCCGGGGTGCCTACGTAACCGATGGCAATCTTTCATCAAATCTGATGCCTTCAGTGCATAGCTAGTGTACTCCCAATCATATCGGATAAATGGAATCACTTAACGTAAATGGACTGATTAGATCATCACTTCCACCGTGTGAACCTCATTCCCTTACTCTCCTTATCCATCATGAACCTAGCTGCTGCAGCTGGTACACGGTTCGTAGCTGAATCGACTGAAATTAGGGTCAAAACGCAACGGTTAGAGTCGCTGCCTGTTGCCTGTGCGGCAGGTATCGAGTACAAATCGACGATCCAGATTTCGTTTCACGGTAGGGCAGTCGACCACCTTGGCACTTGTGCCACTGATATAACAACGCTAATATAACGACGTTAGTGCATTTTCTCGAGGTCAGTGACAAACTTACACCGTAAACAAGGACCAGTTTTTATGCCTGGTGGTACTCATTGGGCTACATGATCGAAAGCTGCGAAGACAAATCCAACCAAACCAGGCTGTTGAACTGTATTCAGCCACCATGGCGTACATATCAGGACACTGCTTCAGGATCACTGGAAAACCGGAGTGCGAAAAATTTGATTTATTCTTGGTAGAAAGTTTATGTGTTTCGGATACACAGTACGTGTCGACTTTAGAGGGTGAAAGGTCTGAGCGAGCACTACCTATTCGCCAAGTCAACACAAAATACAGAAATTGACAGTCCCTATGGAGTAAGGATCCTGTGAACTCAGAACAGTGGTATTTTCGTTTATTTAAATAGGCAGGTGGTCAGATGGCCAACAATAGAGTGTTTGAGCACCATCTTGTAGAGTGGGATGAGACTGGAAAAACATCATCATTGTAATCGACAGTATGACATCAGTGTTCAACACCGACGGTTCGCTGCTATCCGGTTGACCCGGATGGGGATTCGATTTAAACGGTACACTTTGTGCCTTTGACTCAGAAGTCTGAACTGCGGTTTAGGAGCCGGTTTCCTTAGAGGAACCACATCGAGTCAAAAGAATCAGCTGTCCAGCCCAGTTGGCTATCGAGAACCGGCCTACCCTGAGGGCGCCGAGAGCAATATATAAATCCTAGGGTCATAGTGTGTGCGCACGACAGATTCGTTTTTGTGAGTTTTCTTGTCTTTTTTTACAGTAGTTGGTAAGTCGTTGGTGGTTAGGGTAAGTGATTGCGATTTTTGCGGCCATTTCTAACCCGTCCCTCACTGGGGGAAAGCATCTTTATTTTCATGAATGCGGAAATGCTCTTCGTCACGGAAAAAACATTACACATATTTCACGCTCGTATGGCAGACTTTACCCTCGGGTAGTCTGAAAACAGGATTACTCAGAGTGCCGGGACCCATTACTCTTTGTCTGGTCACGAGGTCGGGTTGACAACAGCCGTTTCCCTAGATGGGGATCTCGGGACTCAATTCACCAATGATTAATAGCACTGGCAGGAATGGCTCAATCGCGCAGTCAGTGGCATGCATGCATCAAGGCTATCGTTTTCAATGTGTAGATGTTCGGTTCCCGAATTAATTGAACATGCCATCGCCTCTAAGGCTTGGTTGTATGTCCTATACTGTTCCAATTGGCGGCGATGTAAAGTATAGCGGCTGGAATTAATGTGCCTGTGGGACACGGTTTGTAGCTGATAAAACGAACTGAAGTGATTTATCTGGTCGATCCCCTTGGTCTTCCTGGTATGGCACAAACCCAGGAAACGACATTCCAGTTGTTATAGCCAGCACCACCCTGAGGCTAAGTGGTGGCTGTCGGTTGGAGGTGCAAGCAGTGCGTGGAAGATTTTCTTCCTCTCTGAGCACAAAAGTGATACTCCCTGACTTGTGAGGAAAATCGGAAGCACATGAATTTCTTCCTATCACATTATGCTGAAAAGCCCAGAAGAACAAGAAGACAGGAAAGCATCAGTAGCGCGTACCTCTCTGATTCTGCGGACAGGTCGAACCCAGAACCTTCCGTAGAGTAGCCGAACACTACCATTCAGCGACTAATATCAGGTCACCCAAACCCTAGGGCCAATGGGTTAGATAGCAACTGCTCCCGGCGAGCGACCCAAAGAAGGCACAAAAGCTGAGATATTGTCCATCCAACAGAAGCAATAAATAGGAAAGGAACAGGTTGGAATCAGTGAACTTTCGTTCAAGAGCTTGACCCTGGAACTCCTAGCAACATCAAACAGTTTCCCACTGTCGTTCAGCTGTAAAACCCTTCCGGTGCCTAACTTCCATGCCACAAGAATGAGCCACGAGGGCTGAGATACTGCCAGGTCGCCCAAGCCTAGGCAAGGGAATTCGAGATTCGGAGGTCGTGTTAGAAACACGGGCCTTTCGGTCAGTAAATTCCGGCTCCAACCACTTGAGCCATCTCGCCCATCAAACCAAGGCTCAGGTAGATAAGTGTAGCAAGCGGTCAGAACTCGACTTGGGTCAGCTTTCAGAATTCGAAACCGAAAATGACCCTCAAGAATCGTTTAACAGCTGTGTTAAGCCACAAATCATTCCCACTACGGTAAATAATCTATAAAGGACTCGTACACGGTAAGCCGTGGATATGAGATCCATATAGCCTAGTTACCGATCAGAAGACCTGCGGTTCGAACCCAACCCAGGTCATCTCCACTGCCTCTGTCCGGGCTTGTGCAACCTGAGTATTTCAGCCTTTGTGCTTCCTTCGGATGGCATGACAGCTTTGCGCTTAAAAGGTTACAGTTGGACTATTCTTTTTACCTATTAAAGCCGTTAGTACAGCGCTACACAAATTTAACTGGGACGCGTGTACAAAGTACACTGCAGCTATGCGGAATTGACCACACTGTCATCCTGCAACAGTAAAGGTAACCCAGAATTGTCGCAAACCCTAGTCACAATGTTAAGATGATCTGGATATTTCTGCACATCATCCTTATCATCGACAGCATGACATCAGTGCTCAACATCGATGCTTCACTGCCGCACAATCATGATTTAATTGAAAGCCTTATTGTGAAGAAAATAATAAAGGTGGACGGAGAAGGGACTTAGAGCTAGCGTACCACAATCATTCCGAGGTGCCTACACCTCCAAAACACTCACTCAGGCAATCTGGATAGAAACTGACAAGAACGCCACCGGCATCGGTTGGCGGCCATATCTTGTAGTGTCCCCAACCAGGCGCAGTGGGGATCACGCGGTCCCCACCCTGGAAGGAGAGTAGCACCGACAGCACCCAAGCGTTTCGTGATCTCCTTCATACTCCTCTACCAAGTCAAGGGTTGGCCACCTCTCTGTTTACGCCACTCTGAGTTGGGCATGGAAAAGAGCACCCTATTCGGCAAATGATGGTTCGGCATACGCAACAAACGTCCCAACCAATGTAGCTTCTGGTGCTGGACACATTCATGAATGAAAGTACCCTTTGCGCAATCGAAAACGCGCTTTCTTATTGCCTCATTACGGATTCGCCGACACCAACCCATACGAGCGATGGTTCTGAGACAACGATTATCGAACACCTGAACAAGTCTCAGTTCCGCTGCTCGAATAGACCGACTCTCAAAGCCATACAACAAAGCCCACACAGCAGCTGGGTGCACACG